ATGTTCCAAAGGTCCTAAACATAACCATAATGATGACACAATCCATTAGGACCATTAGATTACATAAAGTTCAAGACTAGCTTTCTTGAACCTCAACCCTTTCTCTTAGTCTTAGGGTTTTCTTTCTAACTTTTCTAACATAAATATCATCATTTCCCATTCTTATGATCCATTTCTTATCAATTAGGACCACTTTAGATGGCCTTAGATTCAAGAATATCAAATCTGGAAATTTTGGTTCGCGGGTACTGTTCACGCAGAATCTCCAGAATTTTTGCTCAACTTTGAAAATTCATAATTAAATCTAGAAAAATCCAAATTGAGTGCTTCCAAGTCTCACTGAAATATAATTAAGTTAAATTTAAAGGAAAAATAGTTTCAGGAACCAATTCTACGCCGAACAGTACCAGAATTGTACGGAACTCGACAATCTCCCAAAAGCTCAACACTGTTTCCAGATTTCAAACCCTAACTTTGAAAAATCACCATAAATCGTACACATATCCAAATGAAGCGTTCTACACATGGATTTAAATTTCACAGAGTGTACTTTAAGCATGAAAAATTTCAAAATCAGATACGCACAGTAACTAATTCGAAATAGGTATCAAATCAGATGCTACAGCCACCACATACCTTGATCTTGAAGCTTGAACTTTGTTCCTTCTTCTTGGCCTTCACCCCTACGTTTTTCTCTCTAAATTTTGACAGAGTTTCCCCTCTTAAACTCATGTTGGCTGAAAATATGAAGGGGAAGAGGCTCTATTTATAGCCAAAAAAGTTTGCTTGAATGGACCAAAATGCCCTTGGTGGCTAATAGAAAGGGTAAGGGCAAATTTGGAAGTTCAAGTGGACTTTTACATCATCATTGCATCATCTTATTACATCATGCTTACCTCAACCTTCTAGAAGATGCCAAGTGTCATGAAAGTGGTGGAGGAGATGGGAGATTAGATCCTAGCCGTTGGATCAAACTTTTTTCATAAGCTTCCTCAGAATTTACTTGGCCCACGTTTCTCCTGCTTTCTTTATGGCCTTTCGGAGCTCAGAAAATTGTTCTGCCTACTTTATAAATTCCCTTTAATTCTAGATAATATCTATGAATTTTCTTAGGCCATAACACTTCCTTTAAACCTTGCATAAAAATTCATTTACCAAAATGCCCTTTTATCGGCAAAACCAGCTCTTTAATTTATTAAAGCCACTCCACTGGCCTTTTGGTTACGGGACTAATTTTATAAATTAGTACAACCTTTCAACCATTTAACCTCATTTTTGTATACATTTTTGAGGTCTCTTGCTATTTTAAATAATTACCTCACATGGTATACTTTTTACCGGTAATAACCTCATAAATTCCGTTGAAGCTGCCTCAGGGGTATTTTCGTCTTTTCTCTTAACAGAAGAGCCTCAGAATATTATTTCCCATTTTTTAGGATTTTCTTGGAATTCTTTGTATACTCTTCCATTTTTACCCCTGTTGGTCATAACTTTATGAATTTACAGTTTAGTCCCTGGTTGGACTTAACTTCATATAATCCTCTCTTTGAAGCTTCTAACTTAACCTTTGGCCTATATCTAGTCTCTTTTCTCTCCCTAGGCCTTCGAGACTTTACTGGAGTCTCTGACCTTGATTATTGTCATACCTTACTTATATAATACCTTAGCATTTATTTAGGACCATTCCAGACCACCTCAGATGGTCTTAAGCTTAAAAATTTCAATTTGGACGTTAATTTTCGGAAAATTACTATTCACTGTCCAGTTTTCAGATTACAGGTCCAACCTTGAAAAATCATAACTAATTCTAGAAATATCGTATGGAGGTGTTCCAAAATTCTACGGAAAGCTCTTTCAATGCTCTTTAAGGGAAAAATATTCAACTGAACTCATCCTCATGGAAAACGTACAGTTTATTGGATTAAAATTACTATTCATTTGGTAAAATCTGGACTTTCCAGATTCTGCGCCTTAACTTCAAAAATTCATATCTCATTGTATACACATCCAAATGATGTGATTTACCACTAATTTTGAAGCTTGGGATGTGCACTATAAGTCTGCCAAATCTCGTGATTTAACTCATTCATTTGATAGGTCAAACTGAAGCTCAAAACTAACTGCTTCAGGACCTACGTTTTATCCTTTAATATCTCCTTACTTTAATCTTTTTATTTCTTTGACATACATACATGGGCTTAATCTTTCCCATTCATACTCATATACTTTCATTCATGCCATAAACATCCTAAACACATACATTGAATTGATGGCATTCATAACATAACTTACAACATAGGAGAATTATACATTGAATATTAATATCATTCATTTGCCTTAATAATTCTCCACTTCTTCTCCTTGCTTCTCATGCCATTAGTGCCCATCATTGATTGACCTAAATGGTTGGTTAGGAAGGGGGTGAGATTCAGGGGAATCTCAGTAGCAAACAATACCATATTAATCATGCTAAATGGATGCTCATGCACTACACGCAACTTGTTTATTCTCTTGTTAATTAGTGACATACTAGCATGCTCAAAGCTAACTTCTTGATGCATGGCCATGGAGACATAATCTACTCATCATGAATAGCAATCACAGCAGCTAAAACATGTCACAATAACATTCAATAACATGTACACGGCAACACACAAGCATACAACATCAAGCAATGACAATAGGTAAGTTCACTACCTTGCACCTCAAGCTTTCCTCTTACTTTTCCTTTGACTCCCTTGACTTTCCAACCATGTGGGCATTCGGTCAACATCACTAAACATCCTCTTGGATGTTCCAAAGGTCCTAAACATAACCATAATGATGACACAATCCATTAGGACCATTAGATTACATAAAGTTCAAGACTAGCTTTCTTGAACCTCAACCCTTTCTCTTAGTCTTAGGGTTTTCTTTCTAGCTTTTCTAACATAAATCTCATCATTTTACATCCTTATGATCTATTTCCTATCAATTAGGACCACTTTAGATGGCTTTAGATTGAAGAATATCAAATCTGGAAATTTTGGTTCGCGGGTACTGTTCACGCAGAATCTCCAGAATTTTTGCTCAACTTTGAAAATTCATAATTAAATCTAGAAAACTCCAAATTGAGTGCTTCCAAGTTTCACTGAAAGCTAATTAAGTTAAATTTAAATGAAAAATAGTTTCAGAAACCAATTCTACCCAGAACAGTACCAGAATTGTACGGAAATCGACAATCTCCCAAAAGTTCAACACTGTTTCCAGATTTCAAACCTTAACTTTGAAAAATCACCATAAATCGTACACATATCCAAATAAAGTGTTCTACCCATGGATTTAAATCTCATGGAGTGTACTTTAAGCATGCCAAATTTCAGAACCAGATATGAACAGTAACTAATTCGAAAAAGCCATCAAATCAGCACGTAATTCTTCCAATTTTCACATAGATCCACTTGGATCTACCATTCTTTGAGGTGTTCTAGCAAGATCTAACAACCAAACTCCCTTCCCCACTCATCAACCATTTCGACCAGCTATCAAAAGGGAGAGAAGACATATTTTCAACCATAAAAGAGAAAGAAACCAAGGCAAGAACACATCTAGAGCCAAGAACTCACCTTGAACCTTGATTGTATGACCAAAGTTGATGCCTTTCTCTTGGTTCTCCCTCAAAACTCTCTCTTTTTCCCTCTCTTCATGCCTTGCACGAAATTGCCATCTGATTTAGGGGAGAGATGAGCTCATTAATGTGTACAAAATATCCCACCAACCATCATTAATGTTATGCCAAGTGTCATTAGCCTACTTAATCTTAATCCTCTCTCTTAATTAACTTAAGTCATAATGTAATTAAATTCCAAAGTCAAGATCCTCTCCATTGATAGCTTGACACTTGGAAAGCTTTAATTACCATCCATTAAAGGCTTGACATGTGGCGACTTGTGGCCCAAGTAAAGTGCAAGACTCTGATTAATACTTTATCGGTGCACTTTTACTCCGGGTTTAACTTCTTTTCTCTAATTACAGTGCTCTGGCCTCTCTAATTATTTTCTATCAGATCCATAAATTCTCTTCAATTTTAGAGAGTATCTATGAATTTTCTTAGCCCATAACACTTCCTTTAAGCCTTGCATAAAATTCATTTACTAAAATACCCTTTTATCGGCAAAACCGGCTCTTTAATTTCTTAAAGCCACTCTACTGGCCTTTTGGTTACGGGACTAATTTTATAAATTAGTACAACCTTTCAACCCTTTAACCTTCATTTTTGTATACACTTTTGAGGTCTCTTGCTATTTCAAATAATTACCTCAAACGGTATACTTTTTACCGGTCACAACCTCATAAATTCCATTTAAGCTGCCTCAGGGGTATTTTCATCTTTTCTCTTCATAGAAGAGTCTTAGAATATTATTTCCCACTTTCTAGGATTTTTCTTGGAATTCTCTGTGTACTCTTCCATTTTTGCCCTTGCTGGTTATAACTTTTTGAATTTACGGTTTTACCCCTGCTTAAGCCTAACCTCATAGAACCATCTCTTTGAGGTTTCTAACTTACCCATTGGCCGGTATCTAGCCTCTTTTCTCTTTTTGGGCCTTCGAGACTTTACTGGAGCCTCTAACCTTAATTATACTCGAGCCCCTGAAAACTTTTTCTTTGCAGTTTAGTCCCTGAAACTGCTTTAACTTCCTTTCTCGTCTTTGGGACTTCTGCTCACAGGGGTCTGATAGCCTATCTAATTCAGGCTATTACTGGTACTTCTAGGCCTAAAACTTTAGATGTTACAATTATACTGAAGCCCCTGAAAAACTTTTACATTGCAGTTTAGTCCCTGAAACTGCTTTGACTTCCTTTCTCATCTTTGGGACTTCTGCTCAAAAAGGGTTTGGTAGCCTATCCAATTCAGGCTACTTTTGATGCTTCTAGGCCCAAAAGTCTGGATGTTACAATAATCACCCATATCATGTCATATCTAGATGAGGTACGAGGTAACCCCATAATGAAATCCATACAGATACTATCCCATTTCCATTCCGGAATATTTAGAGGATGTAAAAGCCCTGACGGTCTTTGATGTTCCATTTTGACCTTCTGGCAAGTGAGGCATTTAGATACATACTCTGTTATGTCCTTCTTCATGCCAGGCAACCAAAACATATGTCGGAGGTCTTGGTACATCTTTGTCATTCCCAGATGTATTGTATATTTGCTCTTATGTGCTCCCTCCAATAGCTGTCGCCTGATGGACTCTAGAACATATACACATTCCTAATACTTCAATATTGCATTTGGTGACACCTCTATCACATCATCCTCAGCTTTTGTTAGCTTAGTCCAAAGTGTATTGGCTATCGGATCGCTTTTCTGGGCCTCTTTGATTTGTTCTATCAGCTGGGCTTCTGCCCTCATCACATCTACTTTCTGGGTCATTAGTTTCATATGGAACAAAGGTTCCCAATCTCTCACATCTTTGATGAGTTTCCGTTCCTGAATCATTAGGAACGCTACTTGTACTACCTTTCAGCTTACGACGTCAGCTATCACATTAGCCTTGCCCGGATGGTATTTTATCTGGTAATCATAATCCTTGAGCAACTCCATCCATCGTCATTGCCTTATGTTTAGTTCTTTTTGATCTTGCAAGTACTTGAAACTTTTATGGTCACAATATAGTTTAAGGGTTGCCCCATATAGATAATGCCTCCAGATTTTTAAGGCATAAACTATTGCAGCTAATTCTAAGTCATGAGTGGGATAATTCTCTTCATGAGACTTTAACTGTCGTGAGGTGTAGGTGACTACTTGTCCTTGCTACATTAATACACACCCCAATCCTTGCTTGCTAGCATTGGTATATACAACATACGGTAGGGTTGGATCGGGAATTATCAGCACAGGGGTCGAGGTCAACCTTCATTTCAGCTCTTGGAAGCTAGCCTCACATTTATCATCCCACACAAATTGCTGGTTCTTACGTGTAAGTTTAGTCAAGGGCTGTGCAATTCTTGAAAAATCTTTAATAAATATTCTATAGTAACCTGCTAATCCTAGAAAGCTTCGTATTTCTGTTCCTGCTTTTGGTTGCTCCTAGTTTAGAACTACTTCCACATTACTGGGATCTACTGCTACTCCATCTTGGGTAATCGCATGACCCAAGAATTTTACTTCATTCAGTCAAAACTTGCACTTGCTGCGTTTAGCATATAGCCGTTTCTCCTTCAAAATACTTAGAACGATCCGTAAATGTTGTTCGTGTTCTGCTAGTGACTTGGAATATACTAAGATATTATCAATGAAAACCACCACAAACTGATCTAGATGTGGCCGAAAGATCCTGTTCATGTAATCTATGAAAATCGCAGGGGTATTCGTTAGTCCGAATGGCATTACCAAGAACTCATAGTGCCCATACCATGTTCGAAAAGTGGTCTTCGGAATGTCCTCTGCTTTAATCCTCAGTTGGTGGTAACCTGATCTCAAGTCAATCTTGGAGAACACTGTGGCACCAGCTAATTGGTCAAGCAAATCGTCTATTCTAGGTAGTGGGTACTTGTTTTTAATTGTCACTTTGTTGAGCTCCCGGTAATCAATGCATAACCTTAGGCTACCGTCCTTCTTACGGACGAACAAGACGGGTGTTCCCCATGGTGAGACATTAGGCTGGATAAAATTCTTTTCTAATAGCTCCTCTAACTGCTTCTTTAATTCTGCCATTTCATTTGGAGTCATACGATAAGGGGCTTTGGAAATCGACCCCGCTCCAGGTACTAGGTCAATTGCAAACTATACCTCTTGCTCTGGAGGTAACCCGCTAATTTTTGTTCGAAAGACTTCCGAAAAATCACATACCACGGGTGTAACACCTTATGTTTATACCAATTAACTTTCCTTGCGGAAGCATTTGGAATCACTTTTGAAGGCTACAATTGATGAAAAATCAAGTTTGAAAATTTTCATTTACGGGTTACTATTCATTGTCACCTTAAAATGTGACAAACTTCAAAAATTCATAATTAATTCTAGAAAACTCCAAATTGAGTGCTTCCAAGTCTCACTGAAAGATCCTTAAGTTAACTTTAAATTCTACGAACAGTACGGAACTGTACTGAAACTCTTCAAAGTTCAACACTATTTCCAGATTTCAAACCCTAACTTTGAAAAATCACCATAAATCTTACACATATCCAAATGAAGTGTTCTACCTATGGATTTAAAGCTCACAGAGTGTACTTTAAGCATACAAAATTTCAGAATCAGATACGCACAATAACTAATCCAAAATAGGCATAAAATCAGGTGCTATAACCACCACATACCGTGTTTTAGAGTTTGATCTGGCTTGGAACCACTTGGCCTTTCTTTCTCCCTCTTCTTTGTCTCTCTAGAAACCATTTTGCAAGAGCTTCCCCATGGATTCCTTATGCTTGGACGAAATGGTAGGGAGGGGAGGGGGTATTTATAGAAAAATAGACCGAATCTGGACCGTTGATCTTAAAAATACGTGGCTCGATCTGGACCGTCCATTTTCTCTTTTGATCTTATGGTGACAAGTGTCCTATGACATCATGCTTACCTCATCATGATGACATCATGCTTACATCATCAAGCCACATGTCTTTAATCCGACCGCACACGTGCCTTGCATCCGACCGTACACGTGTTTTCATCTTGCCGTACACGTAATATTTTCTTTTTCTCATCTAACCGTACACTTGTCACTTTTATGTCCTTTCATCATTTATGGCATTAAAATAGGGAGAAAATAAATGGAAATTCGTGCAAAAATATCTCCTTAATTATTTCTCCACCTATCAAGCCAATTTTGCACCATATCAGATACTTTTCGGGTCCTGACTTACCCTGTACCACCAGGACATGTTCTGACACTATTTTCTCATCTTAATTAAGTACATATATGGTGCCACCTTAGAGGAGCATAGATGAAAATAATTAGCTCTACTGACAGGCTACTTAACCTTACTGAGTCATGCAGTAGAGATTTCGCTATAATGGGTAGACAAAAGACTGTCTAAAATATTCCCATACTGCGTTCTGATTTTTATGCTGTCCATAAATATCTTCTGGTGACTCAGCATGATGACTCGTAGGTGTCATGATTACGCTTGATGACTCAGCATGATGACTCGTCGGTGTCATGATTACGCTTGATGACTCAGCATGCTGACTCAGCATCGTCATGATGGCTTTTAGATATTTTCTTTGGTTTTGTCTCCTATTTAGGGGACAAAATTATTTAATATTTGACTGGAGCATTTTATTCAGTCCAGAGCTCCAAAAATTCATCTAAAAATATCATAAAATTCCTCCTATTCTAGAGAAAATCTATGAATTTTCTCAGGTCATAACTCAACCTATAGCCCCACTTAAAAATCATTCTTTAAAATGCCTTTTTTGGGCACAACTGGCTTTTAAGTATTCTTAAAGCCATTTTGCTTGTCTTCTAGGGATGAGACTAATTTTATAATTTTCTACAGTCTCTTAGATCATACATCCCCATTTTACCATAATTTTCTGAGGTTTCCTTATGACTCAAACAATTAAATCTACCTCTACATCTTAAATTGAGCCATAAACTTGTAAATTCCTTTTAAGTTACCTCAGGGGTATTTTCATCATCTCTCTTCACAAAAGAGTCTTAGAATATTATTTCCCATTTTCTGGGATTTTCTTAGAATTTTCTAAGTACTTTCCATTTTTACCCCAGATGGCCGTAACTTTCTGAATTTACGGTTTTACCCCTGCTTAGGCTCAACCTCATAAAACAATCTCTTTGAGGCTTCTAACTTAACCTTTGGTCTGTATCTAGCCTCTTTTCTCTTTCTGGGCCTTTGAGACTTTACTGGAGCCTCTAACTTTGATTACCCTTTAGCCCCTTAAAACATTCACTTTGCAGTTTAGTCCCTAAAACTGCTTTAACTTTCTTTCTCATCTTTAAGACCTCTACTAAAAAGGGGTCTGGTAGCCTATCTCATTTAGGCTATTTCTGATACTTCTAGGTCCAAAAATCAGGATGTTACAACGGGTATCTCTATTATGCCTTCTTCCACTTCCTCATGTACAGAGAAGAATACCACGTACCCCTAATAGCCATGTCTTAGGCAATCCCCGGCTTGGGCTCCCGTAATCAAGTTCAGTTTCACCTCAGTATGAGGGGTTAGCTCATGGGGAGGAAAAATCAAAGTTCTATTCTTATAGTCAAGGAGTATATTATGGGTAGATAGCCAAGTCAAACCAAGTATCACGTCAATCTTATGAAAAGGCATACATATTAGGTCAAGTGTAGTGCAACAGTGGGTATACTGGACAATACAATTTAGGCAAACATCAGACGTATAAACTTTAGTGCCCGTAGGAGTAGCCACACATAGATCATATAATAATGTGTTAACAGCAAGGCCTATGCGCTTCACACATTGTATGAAACAAAGGAGTGGCTAGCACCTGAGTCAAACATAGCATGCACAAGGTAATTATTAACTTGAATCGTACCTTGTATCATCTCAGGCGACTTATCAACCTCTTCCCTTGTGAGGGCAAAGACCCTCCATTGAGCTTAGGGCTTCGAGCCATCAACATTAAGGGGGCACTCCCTTATATAGTGTCCTGGCTTGCCACATTGGAAGCACACATTTTGACCCATCAAACATGGTCAATCTCCTGGTTTTTACCACAGGTGCTGCATTCCTTGGTCTAGCATGTAGTGCTGCTTCCTCCTTGCCTTACTCCTCCTCCTCGCTTAAACTTCTTGGAAAGCATAGGTTTTCGCCTCTTCCTATTTCCTCTGGAAGAAGTCCCCTCTAGTCCGCCCCTTGTTGCTGGTCCTTCTGGTCTAGGAGCGGCCCTGACTAGTGCCTAGTGGTTCAAGCTACTTTCAGTAATCTGGCATGCTTCCACTGCCTGATTGAACTTTTCAAGTTGTCCTGGGGCTACCTTCTCCCTCAACTCCTATCTTAGTCCCCTTACCATTTTCTCTGTTTTCCACCGCTCATCATTGCGAAGTTGGAGGTAGTTAGAGTAACAAGAGAGCTTCATGTACCTATCTAAGTACTCATCGAAGGACTCTCGAGGACCTTATCGAATCATCAGAAATTCCACCTATTTTTCGTCTCTTACCGACAGTGGGAAGTATTTCAAATTAAAGTGTTCCTTGAACACTTCCCATGTAA